GGGTTAGTACTTGGATGGGTGACCTACACATTATACCTATTCAAGCTTTGATTTCTCGTTTTTGATTTTAAAATAGTGAAATAGAACAGTGAAGGTTTTCTTTTTTTAATTAATTTCTGCTACTCAAATCCCTTGAAGTCCTCTAGAGAAATTAAATAACTTTAAAACCTTTTAACTTTTATAAATATAACTGCAGGCCATTTTGTTTTCCGATAGAAATGTCTAAATGTCTATTTCAAAATAAAAAAAAGAAGAAGAAAAAGAAGGAAAAGAGAAAAGAAAAGAAAAGAAAAGGAAAGGAAAGGAAAGGAAAGGAAAGGAAAGGAAAGGAAAGGAAAGAATAATTCAGTCATGTTCCGACTGTAATTTTACATAAGAGAAATATTTACTTTTTTTTTTTTTTAACTTTTCTAGGTCTTAGTGTGGACGTGGAATTTTCCAGTCGTCGCAGCTTTTTTAACATGTGCAATCCAGTTTCATTTGTGAGAAGAACAACAAACTCTGACCTTTGGGCTTCCTGTGAAATTCTCGATATGAAAATATAGACTGGGAACTAGGTCTCAGTTCTACTCTGCTTACTTGGAACGCCTGTCTAAATTCAACTCATTCGTTTGTCTTTTCTTCTTCTTCTTGTTCTTCTTCTCTTTGTTATCCTTTTCCTTGTGTTGTTCTTCTTGTCGTACTCTAATTTTCTTCACATGCTTGACCTATACTTCATGATGAGTCAACCTTTAATCTCATTAGTTTAAGTCTGAGACTGTCAAGTCGATGATGAAACGCTGTTTCTGAACACTAATTCTTCTTTCTTTCTTATGACTTTTAAGTGATAGATTATTTTTCCTTATATGATCGACTTTGTCGAAGTGATTACAAGAACTTATCTTGACTAAGGATTAAGTTAAAACTTATCTTTCTTTCCTCCTCGTATTTGTAACCTTTAACTGTATTTTTCCTTATCTTTATGTGTTGTCCTGTGCATGTTTTAAACTCTCACTTAAATTTCTTTTTACCTAAGATGTTTTTCATGCCTTTATATTGTTCCTCCAAAGTCTTGTTATCTCTGTCTTTCTTGAGGATTGATAGAAGTAAGATTATATTACCAGTTAATGATGACAAACACTGCGCAAATATGAGACAGCTTGCTGTCGAGGATCAAGACAGTGTCTGAAACTGGTATAGAATGTATGTAGAAATGATGTTAGTAAGGGTTGTAGTTGAAATGAGTATGAATGAACTGCTGAAGTTCTGGGATTTCGCCTCCTGTCGGTGAAAAAATCCAGGCAATTCAATTCCTCCAAACCCTGCCATAACCAATGAGCTTTGATCAGGTATTTTGAAATCAGAAAATAATTATCTTAGCTGGAAATTAAAATAAGTAAAACTGTGAAATTTGAAGAAAATAAGTTTAAAACTAAAGATATAATTTTTGAATAGCATTAATTTTGTAAGAAAACCTCTGCTGTAGCCAAAAGATGCCTCCAACAAATGTTTTTATATGAAATTCTGATATTTGAAAATTCCTATTTTCACGATTTTTGTACTTAGTTGCTTCAAACTTCACAATTTTGCTAATATCAGAGCCCCTCAAGGATCCCCCTTCAGGGCTCTCATTTTAACATGCTCTTTCTTGGCATCTGTAGTAGCTATTTTTTTGTCCTTAAGGTTTGGAGTTGCCTGGGTCTCAGAAAATTAAAAAAGTGCTTGAAATATTCTGCAAATTTTGAAAGTGTTTTTTAGTTTTAATTATTCTCATAATGAAGTTAGAAATTCAAATCATGTGCCAATTGACCCCTTGCAGTACGTTGGAATATGCAGCTCAATCTGGGGGACAAAACAATAGGTTCCAATTCTCAGGAGATTGGAATTCTTTCGTTTTGTCCCCCAGATCAAGCTGCTTCGACGTTACATGCAAGGGATCTATACTGGAATCAAAAAAAAAAAAAAGAAAAAAAAAGAAGAAAATCATTGGTACAGTTTTTCAACGTGTTGACTTCTAAGCTAGTGATAGTTCAAGGGACTATAGGTAGCAGTTTTCTGTTTATTAAGGGACTATAGTTCCCCAGAATATAACAAACCCTTTATGCAAAATAAAAAACAAAGGATTTTGCACTATTTTGTGCTATTCAATTTTCACCTTTTAAAATTTTATTTTACATTTGAATTTATAAATTCATTTAAATTTACCAATCTGAGGTGGACGGAAAGTCTTACAGGTCTAAGACCCAAAAGCCCTCCTCGACGCGGGCACAATGTTTTCCCATTTCAGACCATGTGTCATTCCCTAGAGTATCATTTCTTTGTTAAGCGAGCTTGCACTCGGCCGCACATGAGAAGGCACGTGAACTATTGATACAACTCAAACAAAGAATCTTATTTTCAAGGGAATATACATGGTTTGAAATGAGAAAACATTACACTTATGCCGAGGAGGTCTATTACAAGCTATCACCAATGGATTGAATGAATTTGGCAGTTGATATTTGTGGTGAGAGGAAAACCAAGGAACCTAGAGAAAGACCCTCAAAGCACAGGAGAGAACCAACAAACACACTTGAGGATTCAAGCCGGTCCAATTTCAGAAATCAGGTCGCATGAATATCATGTAATCCTGATACACATTTTTACTCTGAAAATGCTAATTAGATCCAACAGTTAGTGGATGTATACTGTTCTGATACAGCACTAGTGGTTCTATCTAATTAGCATATGAATTCAAAGTGTATAACCAATACAACACGGCCACTCATATTGTAAACTTTACTTCTCATACTAATTAATAATTCATGAGGAAACCAGCCAATCAATGGGCTATTTTTTGGGTAACATCATTGCTTGAAACCTGGTAAAGTCCTGTGAAAGGACTGAATTAATTTTGTTCAAGTCCTTGGACTGGATCAAAATTAATTCAGTTAGGGACTTATCTGTTCCTCAAGTCTTTCAATCCTAAACAAATAACTTCCCAAATTATTATYGAGTATGAGAAGTCATTTCAAAGCTTCGGGCTGGACGGAATTTCAAGTCCTTGCAATTAGTTCCAACTTGCTTGGAATTGAATTATCCCATCCAGTCCCTCATTGTCGGCTTTGGAATATTACATACAACACCGATACGAGCCTGGCGGGGATTGAACCCTGGTTGCATTTTTGCGAGGCGAGCAAACCTAATACTGTTACAGCACCTATGCTTCACCTTTATCACAGGTTTATTAAGAGTGCTTCAGTGCCTGTATAAATAAGTTAAAAGGAGACTCTGCTCGCAGGGTAGTATAAATACTATTCCCAAGATCAAATTACTATGACATCAGTTTTCTTGTGAATTGTTTTAGTACTTCAAAGAATCTGTTTGTTGTTTGTATTTACAAGGTTATACACCTTTATCATCAATTATACTGATTATTTCTGACATGATTGCAAACCCAATAACTTCAACATTTCCTTATTTCAGCCAGTAATTCCCTAGTCTCCTAGTCTCCTAAGCAGCCTCTATTAGTGTTGTTAGATACTCAGAGGAGTGAGTGTTGTGTGACAACACTAGTAGAAACCGTGTAGGAGACTTGTAATTCCCTTGGTATATCTTTTTATGAGAAAATAAATAATGACTGGACGATACTCAAGCAAAGAATTTTTTCTTAGTGGTATAAATGTTCTGAAATGGGATACTTCGGTGTGATGAGGTCAATGTTATAGCAGTTTTGAATATTAAGCTTTGTAGCTGCATTTAGAAATTTTTTTTTTTTTTGCTGCCAAGAATCAAAATCAATCAGAAGGGAAACATTTAACATTTTTGACTAGCAGCAGCAAAAAAACAAATTCTGACGGGCAACTTGTAGTAATTTACAGTATTACAATAATAAACATGCGAACTTTGTGTCTCCAAGTTGCATGCTGACATTTGGTTTGTTGCTGCCCCCAGTCAAAAATATGAAAGGTACCCAATTGATTAGGTTTGATTGACAGCAGCGAAAAAAAAATTTTTCAGCATGCAGCTCGCAGACACAGAGGTCGCATGTTTACAAACATTGCAGTAAATGATTAGAAATTGATGTCACAAACAGCTATTGAGTTCTAAATTATTGACAAAAGTCTGAACACTTCCTAAATGCCAACATTGAACATTCTATCCAAAAACTATAGAAACACATGCAGTTGGCTAATCCAAAATATAGACATCAAAATTAACATCTCAATTATGTAAAAATGTTTATAAGATGTATTAAGAAAAGTTTTTTGCATGAGCAATAAAAATTCGGAAGCATGGTATATTTATCATAGTGTATGTTGAATATCGTATGTAATTCTACTCTTTTTTTGTTATGCACATAATTCTGCCCCATTTTCTTACATTTTTTTTGCAAAATTGGCATTGAACATGAATAGCATCAGAACTGTGTTCCATAAACTAATATAGCACAGTTCTCATCCAATTAGAGTGCATAGATAGATGACTATATAATAAATAGTTTTGTTTCAAAGCTCAAATAAGCCTGCATAGTGATGCTTTGGGGAGAGAGAGGAGGTTAGAGAAGTCCTCCCTTCCCAAAGTGCTGCTTTGCAGGCTTGGCTCAAGTAAAATAACTCTATTTTGATCTCCTAAAAGTATGAGACAGCTTGCAAAACTCTTGGTATTCGAGGATGTTTTTATAAGATTCCATACTAGACTTCTCCACAGGCTAGGCTCATAATGCCATTCATATTTTGGGAATGATTGTTCCACAACCCTTTACCTAGACTATAAATATTTCCCATGTTACTACTATTATCATTGAAACACGACCCCAGGGACAGATCCGGGGGGTCACTATTACAAAGGTTTTACCAGGAACTTGAGGAAAAGGGGGGTGATTGTTACTAACGATATAATGAGAAATTTGAGCTAAAGGGGGTGACTAGTCATCTATTTTACCACCCCTGGACCCTCTAAGTTTAATGTCTAGTTTACCATTTAGTGTTTCAATGACTGCCAATCAAAGAACCGCAAAAAAAATGGAGGGAGATGGACTGAATTAAAGATTCTAGAGAATTAAAAATTCACTCTAAGAGCTCCCTGAAGATAGAGTGAAGGCATTAAACCCGTGCAATAGATATTAGACTAATACACATTAGTAGATCTTAATACCATTGTTTTCTTTTGTGTCTATTTGACTATTACACGCTGACTAGTGTTTTCTATTTCACGGGTTAAATGCCTTCACTCTATTGGATTTTTTACATTTCAGTTCTTCGATTGACGGCCGTTGAAATACTAGTCTCTGAATGGGACATCAAACTTCCCGGGTCGCACTTCAACGATAATGGTACTAATCTTTCAGCTAATAGAATGATTTTAGCTTTAGACTCTGTATCCTCATTGATTTTTCCCATCTAATGACACTTTTCTTCCATTCGTCAAACCCACTATCAAAATGTGTGTGAGTGTAGTGGGATGGAAGAGGCATTCTGGACACATATCCTTCTGGATTGGCGCTGTATATCTTGCTAGTGGATGGCCAGTTGGTAGGTGATAGAGGTCTTGTGTTGTTATGCAGCCTTGGAGGGAATGATCTGGAAGGTGGCCAAGATGTTCTGCAAATCAATTAACTGATAATTGAATGAACGGGTGATTGGATGGATGGATGGACGGACGGACGGACGGGTGGATGGATGGACGGATGGACGGATGGATGGATAGATGGATGAATGGATGAATGGAAGGATGGATGGATGGAAGGATGAATAGAAAGATGGTGGATGGATGGATGGATAAATACACATAAGACAACACTGTCATGGACACAGTAAAGCATGTCACTACTCAAAGTTTTTCTCTACAAAATTCAGGCAAAAAAAGTTTATAAAATTTTCCAGCTACACATATTTTTACATACATACCTTTTAGACTCATTTCTTGTATCTGTATACAGTTGTGGGCTATATGCATCAACATAGTCTGGTATTCTATACGATGGCCGGCCATAAATAGCTTTCCTGTCAGCATAAGACAGTGGGTATGTCCTTGGTGTCCTCCATTTACCTGCTAGAGGAGACTTATAAGCTGGTGTTGATGCAGTCCATTCAGTAGATTGTACTAGAACAACAAAATGGGCAATAATGATACTGTAAGTCACACTTTTCTCTTCTCAAAGGTCAAAGGTTACCTGGCCAATATTGCTTACATTGGTAGGCCAAAATAATCAATATTGATACTGTAAGTTACACTTTCCTCTGCTCAGAGGTAAAAATAGTTGTCTTGCGAATATTTTTTACATGTCAGGAGGTTTTGGGGTGGGGTGAGGTGGGGGCATTGGGCCATGGTCTCCTCTTTTAGCTTCTCATTTACTCGAGAGTTAGTCTCATATAATGCAATGTCAGAATTATTACAAATACCAACGGTAAAGTAAAGAATGCACAACTTTAACAATACACTTTGAAATTCCACAGACCTTCACTGGAACACATGAATATTCGACACAAAATCGAGCAAGGCAACATACAGAAAATTACTCAAAACTGGTATACTACTGATGGTCCTACCTTCTCTTAAACAAGATTTCAAGATCTCTTTTCTTCGGATCACATCTTCCACTACAGGTGTCAATCTCTTTGCACTATTTTCACTCTGATATGCCCTGTTCTCATGGTAACTGGTCTGAGAGAAGACATCGTTTCTCATACCTCCAAATTGATTTCTTGTTTCAAACCTGTTATAGTCATTGTCAAAAGAGCTTCCAAGTCCTCTTGGTCGCATGGATGGGACTGTCAGAGGTGTTGACATGCCGACAGGTTGTTGCCATGGAAACTCTGATACATTCATATTTGATATTGAATAGTTGTAAGATTTGCTGTAGACACCATTTTCTGTTTCATTTTGAACTGACTGTGTGACACGGTTTGCTCTTCTGAGTGCTGCCGAGGCCTTAATCATTACCATATCATCATCAAGGTCCTCGCCAGATCCTTCCAATTCCCTACCATAAAACCTTTCCTTAACTTTTCGTCTGTCCTCCCATAAAACCTCATCATTCTGACTACCCATTCTTTGCTCCTTGGCATTCACATATACTTGATCATTTTGTCTATTTCCATCAGGAATTTTTGTGGAGCTCAAAATGTTTGTCATGCTCGTTTCCATGGCTTCATCACCATTGTCATCCTTGCTAGTTTCTTTTATCATGCTGATGTCATCAGGTGACTGCAAGTCTTCCATGCTGACTCTGGGAGGCTTTTTCTCATGTTGAAATTGAGCATCTTCTCGTTCTTGTTCATCATAGACACTTGATTCATTTGCAAGGTCTTCCATTGTTATCTTTGCTGGTCTTTCACTATCCTCACTATCATTGCTACTTGTGTTGTCATCGTCATCATTATTGAAATTGCTCTCTTCTTGATTCTCATGAGCGTCTAGAGCAGAGAGCTTCAAGGGACTGGCTTCAATGCAATGACTGCCGCCATCCTGCTTTCTTTGTAGTTCTGTCAAATTTAAAAAAAGATAATAGAATACGCAGACATTAAAAAATGGATGTCACAATTATAAGATAGACCTCTTAACCTCGGACATATTGTTTTCCCATTCCCTAGAGTATTCTTTCTTTGTTTCACAGTTGTACATAAGAAGACACACGAATATAGAGTTCTGTCACGTACATGGATACATTAACTCAAACAGAGAATCCTGTTCTCAACAGAATGACTTTTCTTGCTTTTTATACTGTTCAAATTTTATAAGTTTTCATGTGTTTTTCATGGTTATAATTTACAATGACTCGGAGATTTAGAAAACTAGCGTTAAATAAAACCTTCAAAAAAATCAGTTCTCACTTTTGAAAAACCTTGAATAATGAAATCACTCGCCTCTCGCCGACACAACAGAGCAAAGAGAAAGGCAATTGTACAAAATTAAGACATAAGTAGTCGATAATTTAAATTATTGTGATGTTTTTAGATGGCAAAACATGATAACTGGAAACATACAGTATCTGTTGTTTCAAGGTGTTAGATCGCGTTAAATATGTAACAATAAAACGGGCTTGTCACTATCAAAAATAAATAATTCACTGGCGAAAAAGATAAAAATAAGACGGGAGATAGTTAAGTAGAATATTGAAAATATATCTATCAAATTTTACCTTAAAATGACCTCTTTTACGAAAGCAATTATTATTTTTGAAGCGAGGAGAAACGACGAAGAGTTCGTGAAAAACACAGGGATCCCATAACAAAGAATACACAATCAGTCCGTAAGGGGTGGGGGCTTATTTTATAATTTTATCCTTCACACTGAGGGCTTATTAAAAGGGGGCTTATTATTAAAAGGCTGGTGGCTTAATAGAGAAATACAGTATTAATGGTTTCCATTTCAATCCTCCTGGGAATGTATTCGTAAATTAAATTATCGTTTGGATTAATGCACCAGAATAAATATCATGCCTCAAAATAAGCCATACGGTTCCAAAAACCATTTTCTTCAAACCCTGAAAAAACCTCTGGACTGAGTGAAGCCAGGAAAACCAGAGTTCTCAGAGAAAAAATTTTCAAATCAAGGGAGATCTTAATGACTGAACTCTACTCACATGTTATGCCAAGTCCAGGAATTGAACCTGAGGTGAGTTACCTACTCCGATCCTAAACTTGATTCCCATTTTTTACCACAGGCAACCCATAAAATAAATTGTATTCTAACCTATACTTTCATTGTCTTCATTATCATACTCCCGTTGATCATCTTTGATGGGTGATATATCTGGGAACATGTCTAGATCTTGTTCAATTCCCGACGACTCCAATACATTCGATGCCTGGAAAGAACCATCTACAGCTTTTGAACTGTGTAGCTTGTTCAATGGTGTGATGTGCCCAGACCGTATAGGTGACACGTCTGGACATGGTGTGCTCAGGCGTGGTGTTCTTTCTTTCTTTTGTTCGGAATGTTTACCGACAGGACTTGAAGTAGTCTGAGAAAAAAATTAGTTAGGTCATTATAAATCATTTGAGAGGCCGGCCATCAACCATATAGAGTGTACTATATTTATCCCATTTCAGACTATATATTTCATGTGGGCATGGATACAACTCAAGTGAAGGGTCTGAAATAGATTGGATATATTTACCAAGGTTTCTATAGCTAAGTGCTGTTGTTGTTTGTTTGGGGAGTGGAAGGGGGGGGGGGGGGGGGGGGGGGGGGGGTTATGGAGGGAGTAAATCCAGATGTTAGAGGTGTGTACACTACCACTACACCACCCTTGATTTCCAAACACGTAATAAAACTAATACAACTTCAGACTTACAAGTGTTGGACTCTTTGAAGCTTTGAGAATTGACCTAAAGAAGAAAATCATAAAAGAAATATATTATAATTAGTCCATTTCCACTGTATTTTGGCTTCTTAGTTAGGTTTGTAAAATTATAGTGTTACTAATTGGTGCATCTTTCGGAACTGGATAATATTTTAATTATTCTCATAGAAAAGGACTTGCTAATAGTTTATTTATATTCTACCTGATTTTGTGATTTTCTTGATTGTTGTTGACATCCTTTATTCTCTCTGTTTGTTCCTCATGAGGAAAGAGTTTTCTACGTATAAATGAAGATCCTGAGAGGTCTTTRCTGTTGTCAAGGTCGTTATGCATGAAGGTTTGAAATGCTGAACCTGTATGACAAGATGACAGTATTATCAGGCACTAATCCCCCTATGCTGAGAAAGCCACACTTTCTTCTTGAAACATATGTGCATTAAGGTCCCAGAGGGTCGAACTGTGGACGTCTTGCTTAGCAGGCAGCACACTAACCAACCAAGCTACACTTGCTCTTTAAAGCAAGTGTGTGAGGTCACTGAGGATCAACCTATGGACCTTGTGCTTAGAAGGCAGCACACTAACCAACCAAGCTACACTTGCTCCTTATAAAACAAGTGTGTGAGGTCACTGAGGATCAAACTATGGCCCTCTTGCTCAGCAGGCAGCATACTAACTAAGATCTTGCTTAATTGCGGTCGGCACATAAATTGTTTAAAATATATATTATTATTCTTACCTAATATTTCTTCTAAATCAACATTCCATGGAAAAGACAGTGCAGTCTGAGTACCAGCTATATATAAATAAAAAAGTGTGAAAAAACCCACCATTTTAATTTGTCAATAGTATAATAATTAATTACATGATCAGAACTTATAAGTCCAACAATAAGTCAACACAATCACCCAAGTTTTAAAAGTATTGATAAAAGGGTAAATTTTACACTGTGAAAAGATGAAAAAAATGAAAAAACTTACTGGACATTTCAGACGCTAGTTAGCTGTAAGTAAGTTTTTTCATATTCTTTTCACAGTGTATTTATTAAAATTTACCCTTTTATCGTTACTGTTTCATTAGAAACACTGATGCAGCTCACACAAGTTTTTAGCTAGTTATCTCTTCAGTTTTAAAAGTACAAGGCAAAAGGTTCATCACTCAATAATGCATAATACTTGCCGTCTACTTTTACACTGTTGCTTTGAGAAGAGTAGGATGATTCCATGGAGCAATCATTTGCAGCTATATCTATGACAATTATAGATGAGACAAGATCTAGTAAGCCTTTTAAAGCATTTTACAAATGAAGAAATAAAGTCAGGAAATCTCTTCAAATGGGAATAGAAAAGAGGGATAGGCCCTTTGAAGTTAACGGTCGTGTTTTTGTACCTTGGTGAGCAAAATTTTTTAATTTTTTAAAAATTGGTGATTCTTTGAATGAAACGATGTGTAACAATTGTGTCATGAAATGCAGTTTTATTACAATCTCTCAAAACAGGTTGTAAAAAGTTTGTTTGTTCACCAGTAAATTTCACCCATGGGAATCATGAAGATGTTCATTCATTTGCTCTCAGTGAATTGATCAACATGTGATTACTGAGCTGCAAAGGGCCTGTTGCATTTCTACTAGTCTAGGATATTGCCCTGCCCTTCACTTACATTGAGTGTCTGGAGGCAAGGGAGAAAAAGTGACATGCTTGGCTGAACGGTTAGGAGTCCAAGGAGATGGAACAATGGCGTCTTGGGAAAAGTACTGCAAGTAGATGAGACAATAATTATTTAGAGTCAAATAATAAGTGAAAGGGAAATAACCCCTGAATCAACTGCAAATAATAAAAAAAAAGAAAGAAAAAAAAAAGAAAGAAAGAAAAAAAAAAAAAATCAATAACAATGCGAACGGCACGAATAACTGCAAAACTAGTTCGTTTCAAGAAAACATTTTAGAAAGTAAATCCCTTCGACNAAAAAAAAAAAAAAAAAAAAAGAAAAAAGAAAAAAGAAAAAGAGAAAAGAAAAGTCCATGTGACAACCTATGAAAAAACCTTCCAAATTTATCAATGCCCTGAAACAACCTCTCGACCAAGCTCTCAGTTGAATTAAGTCAGGTTACAGCTAGCTCTAGGATTGAACTGGAATTAGCTGGTTAGGTTTTGAGGAGGTAGGAAAACTGGAAATCCCAGAGACAATTTAAAGCCACAATTCAAGGGAGAGAGCTATGAAGCTCTACTCACATGTGATGTGGAGTCCAGGAACTGAACCCAGGACCCCAGAGGTGAGTGCATTACTCCTAAGCCACCCATCCTTCATATCAATTCAAATGTTTTCTACCTCATCTATGGCGTCTTGTGCAGCCTTCTCATCTTCTTCCCTGTTAAGGAACACATTTTCCAGCTTTAAATATAATTCTAGAGGTTGTCATATGTAAAAAAAGCTGTGTAATATATGCGCCAGCTTAAGTAAATTGTCATATTTTGACATGCCTGCACAGTGTTCAGTCATTAGAGTTGGTCTGGCCAGCTTGAACCAAAGACATCCAACACAACAGTTCAATGCTCAACTAACTGAGCCAATTATCCAGGTTACCGGCATTTGCATTGCTATGCGGCCACCCCAGACAAAAATCGTGACGTGCACTTTGCAATAGACTGCCGTCAATCAAACACGTTGATGCCATCTTCAGGCGTGTGTGATTCAAAAGGCGCCAAAACTTCGGTTGATTGTTTACAAGTATTATGAGCCACACTCAACAGGCCTATCCGGGCCGACCCAAACGCGTGTAAATGACGTCAACTTGTTTGATTGACGGCAGTCTATTGCAAAGTGCATGTCGTGATTTTTGTCTGGGGTGGCCGCATAGCAATGCAAACGCCGGTAAAGATAACTGGCAAACTTCAAAATTTTCCTAGAACTTTACCTTTCATAAGTACTGCTGTACTCCTGATTTGGGTATTCATCCATGTCTACTGGGTACTGGGGGAAAAAGAAACACATCGAAAATAAAACTTTTTTTAACAGTAAACATTCTGTATCATCATCATCATCATCATCATCATGCAGTGTGTATTCTGCATCATCATCACCCATTCTAGTCTCCCCCAGCAATCAATTAATGTGCACCATACACTACTGTCCAATATACATGACAACATTATTTCCTTATTTTTTAAGGAGATCAATGGAAGTTAGTGACTGCCCCCATCCCGAAGCCTGCCCATGTATAGGCTCCCTCAAGACCAACATGTGAACACTCACTTGCAGATCTTCAGGTTTTACGCAGAACTCGCTAATTTCAGCTAATGTTTTCTATTTTTTGTTGAGTTTAGGGAGATTTCAGTAAACATACCACTTTAAGAATAAAAGTTATTGCATTTATGGCAAGGGCAAAAAAATATCTGAATGTTTACTGAAGTTTTACAAACAAAAACAAGGGATCCTTCACTTTTTACTTGGGAGGGGGTGGGGGCAGTGGGAGTCTTCCTGGGGTAGGGGGTCTTTAAAAAATGGCTCTAAAGGGGGCCACAAAAAATGATTTGTGCAATAACGATACATAGCACTTCTCAATAAGCAAAATTTATAATTAATGCAGGGACCATTTTTCAAAGCAGCAATGAATAGGGGGTCAAATTTCTTGTATGGCATGAGTTACCAAGCGAATCCCTGCATCCCCAGTTAACGTACTACTGATTTTCTTTTCTTTTTGTTTTACTTACAAGTCGAGATATCTGTTCAATAGACCATCGGAATTCTTTTTTCTGTGAAGATGGCATAGAAATATTGCTTTAAATAATGATTCTTATTCTAATGATGTTGAAAAACGCCATGAAAACATGAGTGGCAGGGTCCATTAACAACTAACATTACTCTGTAAGCTAATTTTGTTTTGATATTTGGAGAAATATTTTAAAACGGCTCGATATTATACTGTTAAGTACTCAGAACATCAATCGAGATTATAAATATTATAAATAAGATAGAAAATACCTTTTTGTTTACTGGAGTTTCGGGTGTTTTAGGTGCAGTAAACATCGAAGGACTGAATCCTGGAAAATTAAGTTTGCCTTCTAGATCACTATCGAACGGATTTCTCGTTATTTCCATCGAGGACAGAGAGGTTTGACTATCAGACATTGTCGCATTAAAGTTGTTTTAGCTTATATTTGTTATTTTGGGCATAAAAAAAATGAAAAAATAGAGCTCACTTGGAAAAAGTTTTTGATTTTGAAGTTGAATTTTTTGAATTTACCGCCTCGAATTCATTTCATGGCAGGACAAAACCTGTATCTTGGGAGAATTCAGAGATCAATCACGACATTCGCGCTTCATATCGGCTAATAAAAGGCAAATTAATCACTGAAATTAGTAGAAAGCTTTCAAAAACACTCCCATTTAATTTTACTTAATGCTTTCAACATAACAAAACAATTAGAGAAATTAAATGTTTAATTTATAGCAAAATTAAATAACTTTTTACAAACTTTTCTGCAAGAGTAGCAGTAAGAATTTATATTTTGATCTTCAAACGTCTGTAAATCAATTAACTATTTCTCAATAAAATCAAACTACAATTACTTAATTTAAAGATTTCTTAAATACACACTTATTTAGAAGTGTTTTTAAGCTAAAATATTGTTTAGAAGCATAGTAAATGTATGAAAAAAATATTGAATTTTGAATAGGAGTTCAAATTCTTAATAAGTACACTCGTACATAGCTGTTTAGCCGCTTGTCTGGTCTTCATTGCAAGATGGCGGACAGAAGTAAAGTTTCTTCTGCGCGGGAAGCGATGGAAAGTAAGTTTATACCCAAACTAAAAGCCACTAGTAGTCTTCTACCATCTTTACTAAAAATTAAAGGCTTTCATGACGCGAGGGAGGGAATTTAGTAGCTCAAATAAGTCTAGAAATGTTTTATTTTTATTACCAAACTTATTCTTTCATGTTCAAGATTTTCTAACATCGGAAGTATAAAATGAAATATTGATATTTTATTATTTAAACTTAACCAACTAAGAACTTGAATATCACTCATTGGTTGATAATCTAACTTGATTATCATTATAAGGAGGAAAAGTTCAGTGAAAAATATTAAGAACACTACTTTTTTCCTTAAATTTTCACGGACTTGTTTACTTGATCAGTGACCTCATCGCTATTAGCTCCTTCTTCACTTGGGGAAAGAACTTAGATAGTTATAAGCTTAGGTTTCATATTGGTGGCTCATGAACATTCAATAATTAAACATTCCTAGGCCGGAAAGGAAAAGTTGGGCTTCCTGTGTTGTCAGGATCTCAAGGTTTTGTAGATTCCAGATAAAGCATGGGATTTTGGCTTCATTCAATCTTACCAAATGCATATGTATGTACCTCGAAGGGGACTATGCTTACTCTTGAAGCAGCCTGCGGGCAAAACCTCAAATAAAAATRCAGGGCTTATATAATAACGGACAGACTTTGGACAATGTCTGGCCAGAACTGGGCATTGTCCATTCAAATGTTTACCTTGCCAGTCATTTTGACCAGTAACATTTAGCCAGAAATGAGGTATGACTGAGCTACGARTAATTTGGCCTGTGATCATAACTGGCAACTAATCAGCATTATTTTAAACCCTGAAATACAGTCACAGGGGCGGCGGAACCGGGGGGGCCGGGGGGCATGTCCCACAAAWTTTTTAGGGGGGCCTAGTCGCCCCACAGAATATTGGTTCACATGAAATAAAAATGCATAGATTCGATTTTTAATACTGTTATCAAGTTGTTGTTGTGATTTTTTCCAGTGCCCCCCCCCCCCCAAGATTTTTTCCGGTGCCCCCCCAAAGATTTTCAGCTTACGCCTCCCCTGAATCACTTATAATTGGCATTATTTTAAACCCTGAAATACAATATGTATATTTCCAGTGATCTAAGCTTCATGTTATTTTTGATTGAATGAAGTCAAAACTCCAAATGGTTTGTTCACATGATTATGAAATTGAATTTAAATATAAATATTTTTACTTAGCATTGACAGAAATCTCGAAGCTTTTGAACACTGGACTGGATTCAGAGACCTTAGCCATCTGTGTAAAGCTATGTGAAGCAGGCGTAAATCCAGAAGCTTTAGCATCTGTYGTACAGGAACTGAGACGTGAGACTGCAGCCTTACAAGTAAGCGTGCTCATAAACCACTTACCGTCAAAATCTTGGGGTCAAACACTGTGTATGTCACCTTATTCTTTCTGCACATGCACAACAAYGTGCCATAGACTCTGGGAATCCCTAGCTTGTGGCAGCCAGAAGTCTTGTTACCTGGTGCATGCTCAAATTAGAATTATAAAATAACTGCTCTATGTCTCTTGTTCTGATTGGTTGGGAGCGCTTGCTTTATGAGAGCACACAGCACACGCACACACTTTGAATTTCATYATTTATGTAATTTGTATTTTATAAAAGAAATAAAAAACTTGCTTGATGTGCTGTGTGGAGTTATAAAGCACTTGGGGATTGGCAGAACACTCAAGAAGTGTTGAGAAGCACTTAGCTACGCGTCGTGCTTCTCCTAACACTTCTCTCGTGTTCTGCCAACCCCCGCGTGCTTTATAACTGCACACAGCACATGTGCGCGTTTTCTATTTCTTCATTAGAATTCTAGAGCTTGCCCTCCTTACCTAAGACCTTAAAGTCAAGGGGTTTTTTACTCCCAAAGACCTGTATTTATTGCTTTACAGCTGCACTGCCATTTTATCATTGACTTTCAAGGCAATTGTTATCCTTTATTGCAAGGGCTCTCGTTCGCTAGCATGTATTTTCAATCAACTGTCGCAAGAAATATTCTAATCAATTACAGCTCTTGAAATTTTAGGGTTTCCCAAAGTCACTTGCATTTCATCAAGCRTGCACATTGATGAAACCCAAAATTAAGAAATTATTTGTATTTTATGAGAAGGAGTTTAACTGGGGAAAACCATCAATATATATGAAACCAAGTCAGGCCACAAATCTATTGGCGAAATGTGAGCAATGTCCACACAACCAATCTCTCTCAATATGTAATCACTCTAATTTCTGGTTTTCCTATTTATTAATATTTTTGTTTCAGAATGCAGATGAAGAAGAACAACGGAAATAACAGAACCAGTAATAATTGTCTGTGTTTTGTATATTACTTTGCCAGTCATTGTAACTTCATAGTGAGAAATAGCTTTTATATAGTATTACCATTCAATCTTATATTGCATCTTGTAAATAAAGGTTTGTAAATATAAATACAATACAACAACAGGTAAAATATAATGTAAAGTACTGAATTTATTCTTTCAATATTCTTTGTACATAACAATAAACGTTTCCTAAATTTGCAAGAATGACCACAAAACAACGACGCCAAGTCAAGGTTGGACCTGAAGGGTTCAAACACATGCACTAGCTAGGAGTTGCGTCTGCKTGTGCCGCCAGTGAGAGCCAGGCTTTAGGACCAGAGAGGACAGGGCAGAARAACGGTTTTTAACCTTTCGCCATAAGGAAAGCTTTACGTATTCAAGCTCAATATTTTGTAAACACGTTCTTTTGGAGCCAAATAGCTAAATATCAAATGTGACCAAAATTTATTGAATGCGTATTTGAGTTATAAAGCCGTGAACTTTGGGAGAGGTGATATTTTGATCAGCAGAAAAACTGACATTTTCATAAATACTAATAAGTAGATTTACTCTAATTGGACAAAATCTCATCAAAAGTTTCGAGCAGCAACACAAATGAAACACTTAAAAAATTAGAGTATCATGAGAGTAACAGGCTATTCATTTTTCTTTCATGTCACCAGAGAGTGCTCTAATATCTTCATGACATGTTTTCTAGTACAACTGCTATCCCTTGCCCTCCACCAATGCAAGCAGAACCTAGAGTATATTGTAGTTTCTGCCGTCTCATCTCATGGACTAGATGGCTGGTGATCCTCGCTCCTGATGTACCTACTGGGTGACCTAGCGAGATAGCACCTCCATTGATGTTTGTTTTTTCCATGTCTAGATTAAGGTCCTTTTGTACTGCTAAAAACTGTGGAGCAAAGGCTTCATTGACCTATGGGACAAGATATTATATTGGTTACATGTAGCATCATTTTTCCCCCAATAGGGCATGTGCGTGTTATGTCATTGCCATCATCTTCGTTGGAGATGACAAAGCATTGCTCATTAGCTTCTCTTGTTAGATCAACAATGGCGGTCGTTTCATTTTTTTTTTTTCAATTGAGGCATTTTGAGTCACATGGTTGCACACACAGTATATGGGAAAAAAATAATGAATRAACATTTACACATGGTTTAAAAATGGTGACAGGCCCTAATATTTACCCTACCGCACCCCTTTCCAAAAGAAACGTCGTTGAAAATACTGAGAAAACCCTATTCTCTCCAACAGGAATCCCTCTTTTTTCTTCTTCTATGGGCTACCTGTGGAAAGACAGGTAGCCCATCCATAGAAAAATGCAACTCTTTGAGAAGCTTAATCCTACCTCAATCAACTGCATATCATCAAGAGTTTTGTCAGCACTTTCCAAAGCAGTCTTAATAGCTGGAACAGGACCAATCCCCATAATGCTTGGTTCTACTCCTGCAATGCCGTAGGACACAAGTCGAGCCAAGGGAGTTAGTCCATGGTCTTTGACTGCTTTTTCACTTACTAAAACCAGTGCAGAAGCTCCATCACAGATTCCCTGTCAGTCACAAAAAGTTGAATCATCAGCAACAAAAACAGTAGCTATAAAACAAAAAATAGTAGCTATTTAGTGACTAATAGTTGCTTGCGCTCAACCAGAACATTCATCATACAAAGACAAATACACAAGAGACCATTTGTGTCTTTTGTTTAATAAATGTTCTGTTTGAGTGCTAGCAACTATTAGTCACTAAATAGCTACTATTTGTCAGTATCAACTTTGTTTTTATTTCATGGTTTTACTCCATGCGCTCTAACTGAAAAGGTAGATAAGATAGTGCTTAGTGATCTAAATAGTAAGTGTTAAATATACTAACAGAAGCATTTGCTGCTGTTACGGTTCCATCTTTCTTGAATACAGGAGGTAATTTGGATAACTGTTCTAAGGTAGACTGTGGACGAGGATGTTCATCTACAGCAAACTCCTCAGGACCCTTCTTTCCTTTGACTGTGATCGGCACTATTTCTTCTTTGAACCTCCCTCCTTCTTGAGCTAGAAATGTCATAGAAAGAAAAAAATACTTTATAACCATCACTTGCTACAAAACACCTTCAAGTGCTTATAAGCCTTTACACAATATTTTCAGAATTGATTCTTTAAATAGTGARTAGTTGATTGTGAAAATAATTCGTCATTGGAATGTCGGGTCTTTGAGATACAAAGGTTTATATTTCCAATATGTTAATGACTATGACGTAACATAAGGGATTTGAGTTATTTTATGGCAATTTTTAATATTGAACGCTGGACGTTTTTTGAAAACAAATTTGTAAGAACCTTTACGTGAGTCACGAGTAAAAGGGGGATGCTTTTAAAATACTGTATTCCAGAATGGGTGCAGTGCTGTATATTAAATGATCCCTTATGTTATGTCATAGTCATTAACATATTGGGAATATAAACCTTCGTGTCTCAAAGACCCGACATTCAAATGATGAAATATTTTCAAAATCAACTATCCACTATCTAAAGAATCAATTCTGAAAATATTGTTCAAAGGCTTATGAGCACTTTCAGCTTTTTGCTCACCTCGATAATAATATCTGGGTGGAATAAGGAAAAGGATAGAAACAACATTTTGATCTCCTAAACAAAACTTTAAAATATTAATATTCTACCAGACCCTATCAATGGCAAGTTAAGAATAATAAATCTCAATATTCAAAAAATTTATTATTCTTTTCGAGAATAYAGACTCATGATTGGAAATAATAACTGAATCAAAACTCGAATTCTGAATTYGAACACCATAATCCAATCAGAATTTGAGTTCCGAGTCTTTGAGTTATTGTTTTGAATCTGAGTCTTCATATTGTCAGTAAGAATAAATGTCGCATCTAAGCAACATTACTTGTGCATGCACCCCATCTCAGGATTAAGAAATGGCATTTTTAAAAACTTAAAAAGAATTTAACAGACCCTATCAATGGCAAGGCGTGGCCAAGAGGGGTCTGTCTAAGCAGCCTTACCTGCACCCCATCTTTGCTGAGATAAAAGAGCAAACTCATCACACTGTTCTCTGGTTATGTTGTACTTCTCGGCAAGATTCTCAGCTGTGACTCCCATTGGTAATTTTGCTAACATGTCGGTCAAACCTTGCCATAAAGTGTCTTCCATCTAATGAACAAAATCAAAGATAGCCAGATTTATATTCCACTGAATTACGGGAATGCTACTAGTAATCTGAACACTATCTAATAATAAGGCTTTTTAACTTAACTGATGTTCCCGACATTGTTAACTCAATTAAATTGTTTCGGACCCATAATTTTTGCTTTCTACACAAGTGACACCAACCCAATTTATTGAGTTTGACAAACAGTTTAATTTAAAAGATACTTATCAATATTATAGGTATACAATAGTTTCTTATTCTTACTGTGGTTTTTCCATATGTAAACTTGGTAGTTGTGAATTGCACACTGAAATTTGTTTTTCACTGCCACCAATCAAAAMTAACCGGTTTGTACCKTTTATRTTCTTGACTGGTGGTAGTAAAACCAATTTCAAAACAAGCCGTTGAAATGTCTGAGTGTGCAGAATATAGAAAACCGCAGTAACCTTCTTCATTACAAGCAGACAAAAATTTGTTATTTTTAATAAAATAATAAAGCATGCCTGCAGCCGATGGATACTCTTACTAATATTTCAGGACTTAAAATACAAGTAATTGGTAAGTCGCCAATCATGATCAACAGCCAAATTAGTTTTCACTTGGTTGAAATCATTTCTTGTCCAACCTTACTCATCAAAATGACTGATAAGATAAAGAATTTTTTGGACAAGTTCCAATTCTGGCCAGACTTAAATTTTAAGGATGACCTAACTGGTAGGATACCTTGATTTGCCAACTAATGACATATTAATTATAGGAAAAAAATCTAGTAGCTCAGATCTCTAATTATTATGAAAAACAATTCTTTTGCAAACCAACCTTCAAATCAATGCCCAGTCTTGTTCCAAACCTAGCATCTCTGACGGCATAGGGAGCCTGGCTCATGTTTTCTGTTCCACCAACTAGAACAATATCACTGTCTCCAAGAATAATTTCCTGAGCAAACAAATAATTGGGTGGCTGTTATTAGATTTTCTTGAATGGAGTGATGGATGGATGGATGGAAGGAAGGAAGGGTGGATGGATGGACAGATGGATGGACAGATGGATCAATTGATCGTTCAATGGATGGATGGATTGGTGGGTGATTGGATGGAAGGAAGGGTGGATGGATGGATGGAGGGATGGATGGATTGATTGGTTTTGTGATTGGATGGATGGTTGGATGGATGGATAGGTGGGTGGATGGGATGGATGGATGGGTGGGTGCAGGAGGAGTCCGTAGCCCCTAAGGTGAAATGCAGAAAGGGCTACTGACTTGTAGAGGTCTAATTGTTTTAGGGAAACAAATAATATTTTAAAACCGACACTTTTCACTACTAGTACGATACATGTGAATAGTGAATTTAAACAGCTTTGACTGTAAAAGACATAAGGCTAAATAAGGCTAAACAAGTGCAAATTAACCACCCATTACTTTTAACCCTTGCTAATAAATGTGATTAAAATCATGAAATTTACTCTATAAACAAATTGTGTAGTTCCAGAATATATCCATGCCCTCACCATGGAAGGAATTTGTAAAAGGACCCCTCATTAATCGGAGAATTCAAAGTTCCTCTGTGTTTGGGGTATGGATAATTTCTGGAAGTACAAATGATACACTTCATACTTGTGCCCCACTGATGATTGCCTGGAATCCAGATCCACAAAGACGATTGACAGTCAAGGCAGGTGATGACACAGGTACCTTGGCCTTTAAACCAATATGCCGAGCAACATATGCTGCATCTGATGCACTCTGAATAACAATAATAATAATAATAATAATCACTAATAATAATCACATTATCATCATTATCATCAACGTCATCATCATACCATTACCAACAACATCCGGTCAATCATCATCATCAATATATATGTTGCATCGATCTGATGTACTCTAAATAATAATAATAATCACTATCATCATCATCATATTACAAACATTACTAACACCAACATCATCATCATGTCATTACCAAAACCATAATCGCCATATAATCACCATTTACTAACACCTTCACATCATCATCATCATCATCAATGACCAACATCATCATCATACAATAAAGATAGGTAAGAGCTTAGCCGCTTATAATCCAGTGTAGCACTAGACAGRCTTTTTACAAACATTAGCATCGTGATGTTCATTTGCCACTAAAGCATCATCACGATAATCTTTGCCGAGTTGCTTTGTGTCATCAGCGAATTGGTCTCTGGCTGTGTCAAGGACAACGCTTAATGCTTTTTTAGTTCAAATAGTTAGGGGAAAACCTCAATAATATAGCAGCCAACTTATAACTAGAAATCCAAAATCGCATTATAAAATACCTGGATAACATTGCCAAAGATAAYAGAATCCACAATAGCCGGGTCGACTTTACCAGCCTCTAAAGCAGCAACGCTCGCATGTTCGCCAAGAACAGTAGCAGTTAGATTCTTCAATTTGCCACCAAAGGAACCAAAAGCTGTCCTTTTTGCTGCAACGATGTATACTGGTCTAGCTAAAGCCATTTTAATATATATCTATATGAGGTTATTTTTAAGAAAAAGAAATTAAGGGAGCAAAGAGTTCGATGTTTTGGACTTTGAACTTTTTTTAAAAAACGGGTTAACTTAGTAACCGCGCGCTGTAACCTAACCACAGGAAGACCAACAACTAATCTGGGGTTTTCAAGCTCGTCTTTGATATAAAGGGCGTAGCCAGAAAAMAATTAAACGTAAAATGCGTAAAACGTAAAAAAAGGTATTCAGTTCAGACTGCGCGTCGTTGCTGTATGTTAGACAAGCTAGTTTGGCTAGCCGCAGGAGAGACTATAAGAATTTGGACCCAGGGAAGATTTCTTGCTGCTTGCTAGTCTGAGTTTTCTATTATCTCTTAAAAAGCTCGAGTTTTGAACTCTTCGAAAACTCACTCCTTCAAATTACCATTATTTATCATTTTCTAGGAAGAAAAGACTAGCCTGCGTCACATCCGAAATTTTCTTCGTAAATACCGACGGATGTGACGCAGGCTAGAAAAGACGCGAAACGGAAATACGACGTCGAGAACGGTGTCAAAATGCATTATAAAGTATCTGCGATCAATTCCTGCGTGCCTAGCGACCCTCCTCCAAGGCCCGGTATTTTGCATGATCAAGTTCTGTATCAGTGTTTCATCAATTTTTGAGTTTTGTAAAAAGAAGAGCAAAATACGGCTATAAAAATCTACTCTCTTGTTTCACGCGGAAGCTTTCAAAACAAGTTACGGTTTGTCGAGCCCGCCAAGGTAGGGCCAATAACAGAGGGCCGCGGTGTATGTTCGTTTAAAATTGGTATGTAACAAAATCCTATTGTACAGGAAATCCGGCAACACACTACTCCACGTACGTATTAATACTCATCAGGAGAGGAAACCTCGCGTGAGTAATATCTCTAGTCTTCCAGACTACGGAAGACTTGGACTGGATCTGTTAGGCGTTCAAATTCAAAGGAAATCTTTAAAAAAGGTAAGGTTTCTGGATTAATTCATAACACTAACTTGACCTTAGCTCTTGGCTTTCACTTCGAGTTGAAGAGACGTTCCTGCTTTCGAAATAATGTCAAACACGTGATACCGAGATGCTTTTTTTTTTATAAACGACTCTCGGCCCTTTCTTAGTATATCCCTGTAGTGAAAAGACGCTACATGTCGTGTTACAGTATGTCAATACTCCAGCAGTTTCGAGTTCTCTTTTGCTCAGCCTTAGTCTAGGTTGTGCGTTAAAATATTCAGCTATTCAATTAAAACTTGTGACATTTTAATCAACTCGTATTATTCCGTAATAAGTACATTCCTTACTCTACAATGGACCTTAATGAAAGAAAAGAATTATACACAATCGAGGCTAAGATTGAAGAACGGCGAATGACTCGAAATGACTCTCTGCATAGTTGTCGAGTCTTGGAGTCTTATATAAATAGAAACATATTTATACTAAGAAGAAACCAGGGGGATCGTAAGTATTTCACGCAAAGCCGAACAACATGTTTATCTAGTCTATAAACCGCAGTCGTTATATGATTTGTGCGACATTTTTTTCTTTTCAAAAGGTTATATCTTGTGAACACGAGCAGCAGTAAGGGGGACTCGCGGCCACCCCCCGGAATTACATGGGTATTCCCCGCGCTCACGTACGTGCGTCGGCCGCGGGTATTACCCGTAAGGTCGTTCTGGGTATTACCTGCGTAATTCGATCCGAAAAGCTCTCTACGGGTTTTACTGGTGCCCCACATTACTAAGTTAAAATATTACCCCTAATGGAGGACAAAATATCGTTAAATATACGATGAGTGGTAAGCTTATTTGTCCAAGATGTAGCAAGAGCTTCACAAAGTGTGGTCTGATTTCCCATCTACGCAGGAAGGATCCCTGTGAGATTGTGACGACTTGTACGACAACGCGCGAGGAATACGTAAAGAAGTTGACAAGAAAGACCGCGGTTCCCAAGCCTGCTTTTAGACGTCGTCCTATGAAATATTGGATGCGTCCGCGTAAGGTCGTAAACGAAGGTTAAAATATTTCCTAGATATAAATGGACAACATCGCGCGCATTCAAAACAAAACTGTACGCAAGCTGCGAACCCAGGTATTGGATCGTTTGGACGCCGACTTCGCCTTCACGACATTCACAGAAGGAGACACAGAAGAAATCATGGATGAAGAAAGAGC